CCTTTCCCTTTCCCTTTCCCTTTCCCTTTCCCTTTCCCTTTCCCTTTCCCTTTCCCTTTCCCTTCTGGCCACTAAGCACTGTAGTCTGGGCCATTGTGCACCATGTCAACTTATGAACTTTTGCCCCTGGACTAATTATGATTCTTCTACCATTCCTCTTAAACCTCTTTCTGATTGCCCTAATCCACTCCCCCAACTCCACAACTTTACATTCAGCCACTCTATACATCCCTCTTATCCCAACACTTGGACTTTGATCCTCCAACTTTCCTCTTTGCTCTACCTTACCTCCCTCTTATCCCTCTCTACTCCCCAGGCCTTCTCCAAGAAAAAGGACAAAGCACAAGTTTAGCCTGTCTCCAGAATTTTTTTCATGCATATATCTGTGTGTCAGACATTTGTATAGATGTTTCTCTGGAAGCCACAATAGGCTTTCCAATCCCCTGAAGCTTAAGTTATAAGCAGTTGTGAGCCATGCAATACAGATTATTTACTTTGAACTTGGGTCCTCTGGAAAATTTGTAAGTGCCCTTAACCCTTGGCATTCTTTCATCACAAACCTGTTATGCCATCCATGAAAATAAAATAATATGTTTTACTACACCATGATAGCCCATAATGAAAGTTATCAAAAATGACCACTACCACTCATAAATATCAAAAGCCTGTACAGAATCCCCAATAGATTTCCTTATTCAACAAATATTTAATGAGCTCTTCCTAAGTCCCAGGTACATTTTGTCACATTATAGATACAGCTATGCATAAAACAGACCAAATAGCAATTTTCATGGTGCTGAAACCTTAGGTTGAGTGAGGAGCAAAAGCAGATACCTCACATTGTGAGTGGAGAAAAATAGAACAGACCTAAAGATGAGTGAATGTCTTTATTGCAAATTCCTAGTTCTCAAGATAAGTCAATAAAAAAAATTCGTCACGTGGTTATCTTTTGCTTCACACCACTCTAATAAGCACAATCAATAATCTCCTTCTCTGAAGTTCTTTCTCTCATATACCACTTATTAACTATTCACACTGCAAAACAACTTCCACAGATGAGAAGAGATGCTTCAGTGGTTAGGAACATTGGGATGCTCATGCAGCAGACTGGAGTTCAGTTACTAAAATCTATATGGTTGACTTACAGCCATCTATAACTCCAAATCCACAGGATCTGACACCCTCTTCCAGCCTCTATAAACTCTAACACATGTTAGGCATACATACACACAAATATATAAATCAAATACAATTAATTAATAAACTAATTTAAACATAAAACAAGACATTCAACTTTTCTGCCCAGCTAGGCCCAGCACATGTCCCACCAGGGCCCAGCCAAGAAAGTCCTCCTGATCCTCCCCTCCATGTGCTCCAACCTAGTCTGGTCAACACTGCTGCCACTGTCAACAAACTCCAGGTTTTGGCAGGATATGCATCCTTCAAGTTAGCTTGGGACTCCTACCACATGACTTCATCTCTCAAGACACTTCCAACCTCTCCATTCATTCCAGTCCTACACATCATGTACCAGAGCTGAGCCACCTGGTCCTCCCCTTCACATATCATCCAACTATCCCAGGTCACATAGCCTACGCTGGTGTTAGTATCATCCCTGCCTGTACCACACCCAAACTCTAGGCTTTGCCCAGGATATACACCTTGCATAGCAGCCCAGATTCCCCCTCCTACCACCTGATTCCATTCCTCCTATGCCTCATTGAACTTCCAATCTGGTTCTGCGTATCTTGTACTAGGGCAAAGCCATGTAAGCCCATCAGATTTTTCCTTCCATGTGCCCTCCTCGATCCTCAGTTCTAACCAAATCCCACACCCAGTGTCTTGACCTACTCTGGTCAGCCCTGCCCATGCCACCCCTAACCTCCATGCAACACATAACACATCCTGTATATGAGCCCAGACTTATGTCCACCTGATTTTCTCCCACTTACGCTGTTTCCAACCTTCAGGCACAGCCCCACCTACTCATTCTGTGCTCTGCCCAGGTCCATGTGCCCAAGTATAATTAGAAAAACACAAATAATATGAAAGGTCAAAGTACACAGCACCCTTCAATTACCCAGTACTATAGAAATATTCTTCAATGAAAATTATTTGAATGAACCCCCAGACACAGAATTTAAAATCACAACCGTAAGCTTCATCAAAGAATTCAAAGACTTTAAAGAGAATGCAACAAAACAGTTCAATGAACTTAAAAAAATAAGCACTTAAAGAGAATAAATGTCTGAATGATGCCAAAGAAATCATAAGCAGAATACTCAATGAAATGATGAAGACAATCTAGGATTTGATAGTGTAATTAAATAAAAAGGTGTGAATACTGAAGAGAATTCAAACTGAAGGTGTAGGACTGAGAAACTCAATAACCCAACTAAAGCATTCAAGGAAAATACTACTGGAATGGACCATGTAGAAGAAAGAATATCCAGGATTCAGATAAAGGAGAGGATTAAACCACACAAGAAATAATATGAAAAGTTTTTAAAGCACGGGGGAGAAACGTAGGAAATGGGGGACACTATCAAAGGACAAAAACTTCATATTATATGCACAGATGAGAGAGAAGAATTCCACATCAATGTCATAGACCATGTCTTCAACAAGTTCATGGAAGGAAACTTCCCCAAATAAAGTAAAACAAAGCCAAACAGACACAAGAAGCTCATAGAACACCAAATGAACAAGACCAGAAAACAAATTCACCCTAGCATATTACAACTAAAACATTAAATATGAAGAACAAAGAAAGAGTATTGAAAGCTGAAAGAGAAAGTAACACTGTCACATCTAAAAAACCTAAACCTTAGACAAAGAACGACAGGCAGCTAAAGAACGCTGAGAGTGGAGAAATTGTCTTTCCCAGGGAGGAGCCTCCTGATTGGTTATTCACCACCAACTGGTCAGTACTAAAGTTATATACATCCAAGTAAAATATAGATAAATCTAAATAAAAAGCTTGAATTTGCTTATCTATCTGTTTACAATAGCAATTAAATAAAGAGAGGCCTTGAATTGAAGAGGAAGCAAGGAGGGCATTGGTAGGGTCTGAGGTAGAAAAGAGAAGGGAGAAAATTATGTAATTATATTTTAATTTAATTGAACAATAAAATTAAACGTAAGTAAATAAATAACTTTCACTTCATCTCTCTCAGAAATCTCTAATGTCCTCAAACTTTTATCTGCGTGCCAGACCATGCTAAACTTATTGGAGCATTTAAAACACACTTTGTTGTCATTTTCTTTTTTTTTTTTTATTGAAAATAGATTTTTCTCTCATACAATGCATCCTAACCACAGTTTCCTTGCCCTCCACTCCTCCCAGCATCCCCTCCTCCCCCAGATCCACTCCCGCTCCATTTCTTTCACCTTCAAACAACAAAGTCACCTTTGGCAATACTGAATAGCAAGCTCAAGAGAAATGAATAGTCAATAAATGTGTTATGAAACAAATGAATAATCATGTGAGTGATTAAATGAAAATGGTCATTTGGGAAACACAAATTAAATTTGACAATTAGGAATGGAAAAATAATTAGCTTACAGTATAAAAGTGGTTTCTGAAAACATGTAAACATATGTAAGATTGTCATTTGTAAAGTTTATCTTACTATAAAATAAA